TCAAAATAAGTTTGGTTACAAGAAAGACTATATTGCCCCTCATAAGTGATGGGGCACACAACTTAGACCTGAATAAAACAGACCTTTCACTCTCACACAGATACACCCAAATGACCAAAATACCCCTGTTCTGTGAATTCTAACATAACAGGGGTAGTAATGTGTGTGTGTGTATACGTCAGTCAGAATTTTCTCCCAGCAGGTCAGTTAGCTTTGTCTCTCATTCTTCTCCTTTCTCTTTTCTCTTTTCTTCTCTTCTCTTCCACTTTCTTTATTTTCTATTTTGTTTATTACATTATGGCTCTCTCAATTCTATACCACAAACCTATAAAAGATTTTGATACAGATATCTCATATTTGTACCAATGAGAGTGAGATAATATGATCATTGAGGAGTGGTATCAGTAGCTAGAGAGAAGAGTAGAATATATCAACATAGCAAAAGAATATCAGTGATAAAACTGTCTGCTGGTCAAGTTCTTCCAATCAACAGTACAGGCGAGGTATCTCCTATTCAGAATCCCGATCRAAAATAGAGTTCTTAATCTCAAACTTACTGAACTTTCTAATCGGTGGTTAAAAACAAAGCCCATGGTTACTGGATGAGTAGAACCAAACAAAGGGATTGAGCTTATGAGGAAAGCCCCTCCCAGTTCTATTTCCTGTTGATTGTTAAGGTTTGGAGGTAAGCCTATCTATAGAAATATGTTAACCAATCATCTTCCACATTGTACAATTAATAGGCCCAACCAAATTTGACTTCCTGGAGAAGGGTGATGAAGGATCAAAATTATCTAGTTGATGCCATACTCGAATAGAATTGGTCTATTAGAATGTGGGCTGCCTTTTATTATACTGTTGCTATATGGAAACCTCTAACTTACAACTCTTTATCTTCTTCTTCTTCTTCCTGCTCTTTTCTGCACTGTTTTCAGTTGATTTACTCTTAAACTGTTAAGTTTTAGATCTGTACTCAAATCTGAATTAAGGAATTCAGCTTGTTTGTATACCAAATATATAATGCCCATCTAAAGGTAAACACAAGGTTCCGTTTTTAATTTTTTTTCAATCGATATACATTCTTTTTCCTCCTAATATAAATGCTTCAATATTTAGGAAAAGGAACAAAGTGTTAAAAGCAACCATTCATTTGATTATATGGAAAAAGAGCCCCCATTACAAGTATCATACTAAGGTATCATTGAAGTATTAATAGTAGAATCAGTATCCATAATTTTTCATGAGTTCATTTTCTAGTTGAAGAAAAACACTAGTTAGAATATGGTTTCAATGGATGCAGCAAGAGAAGGAAAAAATGGAAAAAATATGGTTTTAATAGAGGAAGCAAACTGAAAACTGTAAGAGAATAGAGAGATGCATCTTTTATGGAAACTAGAATCTTGGAACAAATGTAAAATCCAAGACTTAATGGAGGCTCACCAGTTTTATGGCGTTACAACTCTGAGGAACTGAAAGCAAGAGCTCCTCATTCCAAATTGGATTCAAGTTGCTATTTATTACTTGTGTCTGGGCCTTCTACAGAAATTCCAAGTGTTTATTATAAGAGAGAATTATGACAAACTGAAAATGAAATAACAACTTTCTAGCTAATGGCACCAGGTTACAAAAAGAGCAACAAACGTAGTGACATATAACAAATGTGGATCCACTGTTTGACCCCAATCAAATGACAATAATCATCAGATTTATTGTGTTCCTTGGACTATTCAGAACATGGAGTAAATAGTCCAAAGTCCACGAATACATGAATGGGATTTATGTGTAATGCATCATATACCATCCCCACAGTTGACCCAAAGGATAAGAAATGAAATAGAACTAGCAGCTAACCTGCTTCCCAAGAGTCAGGACAACATAAGGATCACTAGACAGCATATCTCTAATAGCCAAATTTGTGCCTTTTATGACTTTGACCTTGAGTAAGCCAATGAATTCCTTCATACCATCCTGTTTGCAATTTCAAAAGTATAAGAATTAAAGCAATCAAAATTCATGCATAATAGCCAGTGTTGTTTTCTAGTCAAGTCATTTAGAAAACAGTATATGCAAACAAGAATATTCCAAGTTCTCATCACCACTAACCCTGTAATCCCCAGGAAAATTTCAATCTCAAATCTTTTTTCCATGAATCCAATCTAAACTCTCAGAACTTTCTGTATTGAAAAATAAAAAACTATGTTTTGGATGATTAATCTCACATAGCGACAGCTCTGCAGCACATAGTTGAGTTTATGACATGTTGAGTTAATTTCATTATCTGTTGATGTGGAATAAGAAACAGCATAGATTGACCATACAGTAGGAATGTCTCACCACTATTCCCACTATAATATGCATATACAGAAACACCTGCAAGATATCAATACAGTGAATTGGTTTTTATCACTCTCTTTTTTGTGTTGCTCAGCTAAACTCAACCTTAACCCCAACTATATGGGGCCAGCAAGACAAATGCTCTCCAGAAATTGTGCTCTATCAAGAAAACAATACCATACCATCTTTTTCCTGTGTTCTAGGTTTATATAAATCATAATTTCCTCAGGAAAAATGTAAACAATGTTATTCAATTTGTGCAAGATGTGACTTGCATCCAGTGCCACATATAGAAGTGGCTGCTTTGGTTAAACATAAATGATTCAATCTTTGAAAAGAGTGAAAGAACTATTATATTAGTAAGCAATTACCATTTCAGTTGATGTGTTTGAACTTCGAAAAGTGTCGATAATCTTTCTAGAAAGAGTACTCCGGAGAGTGCTCCTTGTAGTAGCAGCAGGAAGTGAGACAATCCGCAGGCTTGGTTTCAAAAATTCTTGAAGCTCATACTTAGATCTACATAATTAACATGACTGAAATTATGTTAGTAATCACCAAAAATACTTAAAATCAGTTTATTTCTTRGTATTTTACATATCTACACCTTGGCCCACTGGCCAGAAACCTCTTACTCAGGATCAAAATATTTCGGAGGGTATCCAGTATTTCGAAAATATTCTCTCAGCAGAACAGTGTCATATACCTGAAGGCCTACTTGATGTTATTCCCTCTACTATGACAGAAACAGAGAATTTACAGCTTCTTCTCTCTCCTACAGCTGAGGAAATTAAATCGGCAGTTTTCTCTCTCTGTAAGGATTTAGCTCCTGGCCCCGACGGTTTCACCGGATACTTTTACACTTCTTGCTGGGATATCATTTGCAAAGACATTACGACAGCTATTACAGATGTTTTCAATGGTATGGATCTCCCTTTGAGTTACATTTCTGCTTATATTTCCTTAATTCCTAAATGCCAGAACCCGCAGAATTTTTTCTGAATATAGACCTATCAGTGTTTGTAATTTCTCTTAGAAAATTATCTCCAAGATCATGGTTGATAGACTTAGTGGCCTTCGGCACAAATTAATTTCCCCTCAGCAGGTTGGTTTTATCAAGGGGCGAAACATCCTTGATAACATCAATCTTGCTCAGGAGTTGACTCAGGAGATTGGTCGTAAAAGTTAGGGGAAATAATGTTATCATTAAATTGGATTTGTTAAAAGCCTGTTATAGGCTTGATTGGAACTTCCTTTTTATGGTGCTATCTAAATTTGGTTTCTCTAATGATTGGATTTCTATGACCTGCAAAGTTGTCTGCAGTTGCTGGTTCTCTATTAAAGTTGAAGGCACTTTGCATGGCTACTTTAAATCCACCAGAGGCCTTAGGTAGGGGGACCCCTTGTCTCCCTACCTTTTTATCATTGCTGAAGAGGTGTTGAGCAGAAGTTTTCTCAGTTACTAACAATCTAGATCTGATTTATGATGTGCCGAGAGGTTACCCTCCCACAAAGGCAAGGCAAGGCTATATATGTTTGATAATTTGATGCAGAAAATAAATGCAAAAATTGAATCCTGGAAGGGGAAATTACTCTTAACTGGAGAAAGAATCATTCTGTTAAAGCATGGCCTTCTCTCAATGCCGATGCACCTGTTAATGGCCATTGATATTCCTAAGTCTATCATATGAAGCTTGGAGCACAAATTCAAGCATTTCCTGTGGACCGGGTCTGAGGAAGATTCCAAACATAGTTGGGTTACTTGGTCTAATGCAATGTTTTGAAAGTGCAAGGCGAGATGGGCACCTTTTTGAAGTAAGGCACAAAAATACAAAAAAAATGCTAAAAATCAAAAAAGCGTCAAAATATTCAAAAAATGCAAAAAAATAAAAAATATTAAACATAATATTAATAAAAAATATAAACTTAAATTTTACAATTAATGTTTTATAAAACTTATTATCTAAAATTAAATACATAAACGTAACATGTAAAGTGTAGTCAAATGAAAATTTAAAAATAAAATCAAACATATAAAACATTTTCAAGCATGTAACCCACAATCTCTTTTTTTTCCTCAATTGCATTGATTGAAGTAGCTAATGTGATGTAAAACATATTACATTCCTGATTCTACAAACCGCCTTTGTCTCACGCCCTTCGAGGCAAATCCAAACAAGTCTATGTTAGGGTCTTATATTCTTAATTTTCACACAAAAACAATGATTTTATAATTTTAATTGCTTTTTAAGAAGATATTTTATTAGGAATGAATGAACAACATTAGTAAATAGGGGGTTCTCGGAGCTTTGTCTAATGCGCTTACCCTAAAATGCACCTCACCTGTGCACCTAGGTGTGCCTTTTAAATCACTCTAATGTCTGTAAGCCTATGGAAGAGGGTGATTTAGGTATAAGAAGTCTAGCTGATCTCAACAAAGTCAATAGACTGAAATCACTATGGTGAGTTTTGAGACAAGATAGCTGCTGGGCCAACTACTTCAGAGCAAAGTTTTATTCTAAATGGCACTTGCAGGGAGACTACAAAGACGACTCAACTTGGAAAACTACCATGGGTATGCTTGATTATTTTTTTAATTGCAGCACTTGGCATATCTTTTTCTGGTAATGTCTCTTTTTGGCTTGAAAATTGGTGGGGGAATGAGCCTCTTTTTAGGTTTGCGCTCAATCCCCTCTCAAATCCTGGTTTGAAAATCAATGATATTTTGGACAGAGATGGAATTTGGCATTGGGATAGAATTGAAAATAATCTTCTGCCTCATATTTTGGCTTATCTTACTTCTCTACTGGTCACTATTAAAGATGGTTCGGATGTGCGGCTTTGGAATCTCACCTTCTCATGTAAGTCAGCGTGGAGCTCTCTTCATCAAATAGGCATTCCTACGTCTTGGTGTTCTCTGGTTTGGAATAAAAGGATACCCCCAAAAATATCTTTTTTTGATTGGAAGTTATTGAGAGGGAATATTCCCACGGATGATAGTATACAAGGCCTTGGCATTCCTTATTTCCTTTAGTTTCAGCTTGTGTTTGCTGTGCTAACCAGAGAATAGAGACTACAGATCATCTTCTTATTTTTTGGCAAACTAGCCTCTAAAGTTTGGATTACATTTAGTACCATGCTTGGCATCCCACACATTCAAATTCAGTTGGCTAAGGACAGAATTCTCTTCTGGTTAAACAAAGGTAGGGGATGCCATTCTCAGGTGAAAGAAATCTTTGTTTCTACCCTTCTCTTCATTATCTGGGAGATCTGGAAAGAGAGGTGCAAAGGTAAATATGAAGGCCAGTCTGAAACAGCATGCATTGTAATCTTGAAGGTGCTGAAATGGTTTCATGAAACTCATTGGTCCAATCCCAAACATGGACCAAGTTTCGTGGAACAGCTGATTCTAGAAACTTTGAATGTTAGAGTTATGCAGACCTGACACCCAAAAGACAGACTTGTCATCTGGAGCTCCTCTAAGAATGGCTAGATTAAGGTGAATGTTGATGGAGCCTCAAGAGGCAATCCGGGTACCTCAGGAGGTGGAGGTATCTTCAGCAATGAATATGGACAGTTTATGTTTGCTTTTGCTTCCTTCTGTGGTCTCATGACCAACATTGKGGCTGAGTGCAGAGCAATCCGTGATGCTATATTTTTTGCCAAGTCTCTGGGCATTACAAGACTTGTTGATAGCGATTCCAAGGTAGTAATTCAGGTCCTCTCAGGCAAGGTTCAAAATATCGATACGCCCAATACGCCGGTAGGGGCGTATCGGGCATTTCGATACTTGTTTTTTTACCTTTTTTTTATTTTTTTTTTCAAAACTGGTTCAGGGGAGCCGGTCTAGGACCCCTCCATCCCCTGAACTGGTCAGACCCCGGATACACCCACTRTAGAGGCATATCGAAAGGGTCCCGGAATGGACTATTCTCAGGATCCTCCCCACCCCAATGGACTATTCTCACATGGATCGATGACATTGCATAATGGTTGACATGCAGATTGATTTCACCCACATTCTCCGAGAAGGGAATGCAGTAGCAGATAGTTTACTTTTTGATTCCAAGAATTCTTTTCCATGTCATATTCAGTTTCTATTTATTGATGATGCTTCATCTCTTCCTAAACTGCATTGTAAATAAGCTTTGGGTTTTTTTCTTTTTATGAGTGCAATGAGTGTATTGTATTCGGGTTTAGGGCAAGGCGGGCTACATCCTCCTCCCCTATATTCTCTGAAAATAGCGCATTATTTAATAAAATTTTAAGGTGGCCCCCTCCACCTGGAGTAAAGTTTGAGGTTTAMAAAAGATAGAGAATAATGAAATAAACTACTTGTTGAGCAGGAGAAGAAGGAGAAGAAGAAAGAAGGAAGAAGAAGAAGAAGAAGAGACAACTGAGTTAAGGCCTCAAAAGAACTGCTTCAGTCGAGTGAAGCATTGTATTTATACTATACTGGCCGTACAACACAATAGGTCTACAAAATTACAAAAATACCCCTGCGGGTACTAAACCTGTGTACAGTACATATTATACACCTGTCAACACTACTCATACAAGGACAAAAACAACACTTTTATCTGTATGCTTACTATAATTTTCTAGACAAAGTCCATCCATAAAAGCTTACTATTAAGTGATCTAATTCATCATAGGAGATTGCCACAGTATAAGAAATAGGGAATATGAACTTGTATGTCCATCATGATACAGAAATTAGTTTAATGAACTCATCTAATAAAGCCTTTCCTAAACCATCCTGCTAACAAAATAAATAACAGAAATAAGCTTGAGAGAGAAAGATAGAGAGTTCTGTGGTCAGAAACCATTGACCTGATGAATTTCATACGTTCCTCATGACTTGAATCTGGTCTGGGCTTAAAGTAACCTTGAGGAATAAAAGCCTCATAGATTGCATTAGCTGAAGAATTTCCACCAACTTCAACCATGGCGTCAATGTCATCATTAGACCATTCATCTAATGCCACAGATAAAACCTGAATTATAGTGGCAGCAAGGCATTTTAATTATTATATGGTTGACAATGTTATCAAATATGTTTCCTGTATAAGAAAATGTACATAAATACATTTATACATACATAAATTTATATTATACATTCTGTTAACCATATTAAGAATTATATGGTTGACAATGTTACCAAGAAACTTCCTTAATATGTACATGCCTATTTGCTTATAAACAAATTTACAAAAATGCATCTATGCAACAATAGACTTAAGCTACAAGTATTAACAAGAGAAAATAGAAGAGGAAGCAAGGATAACTTCTACTATAACTGCTATCTATGACAAAAATAGAAAAAAGAATTCTTTATTCAGTCCTTAGTGGGGAAAAACAATAAATATAGAATAGTGTTTTCTACAAGACCTGTTACAACTCTTTTATGGACCCAAGATAGCAACTTCCAATTCATAGTTGGATTCTAAATCTGACTTGTATTCAGACTTCAAGAAAGTAGAGACTTCCTCTTCAGACTTGGACACTATTTGAAAATATTCACCATAGAAAGAAGAAGATGTGAGAAGAACAAAGGAGGAGATGGCACTTCAGCCATACTTCTCATACTCAGCCTTGATGGGTGCTTGTTGCTCTCCCACTGACTTCTCACCTGCCCCTCTGTTCACTCTGTGAGGAGGTACATTTTCATTTCAACATTTCCCATTCTCATTTCTTTTCCCACTGTTTGAGTAGAAATTGCTGATAACAGTTTTAGATGAATGCCTTGTGAAGAAAAGTAGAAGTTGAAAGGTTTCAGCAGTAGAGAAGAAGAGAGGAGAAGAAAAGAGAGTGGGATGTCGCCAGAATTGAATTAGTCTGGCCGCCAACCCCTCTTGATTTATATACTTAAAATAAAAGAATGGAAGTTTGCAAGAATACCCTTAGTAGGGCGGCTACTTTAAGTAGCCGAACAGTCACAACTTAAAATAACATAAACTAATGGGCTAAGTTAACAATTTAAAAATAAGAAATAAAAGGCTGGGCCCAATAACTTAAAATCGGCCGTGTAGATCATGCTCCAGCTTGTTCCTTGCAACACCTTTTGTAAGAACATCAGCAAGCTACAAATCAAAAGTAATGTATGGGAGACAAACTTCCCCTGAAGTCACCCTTTCTCTTGTGAAATGTCTATCCACTTCAATGTGCTTTGTCCTGTCATGCTTAATTGGGTTGTGGGCAATGTTAATTGTTGCCTGATTATCATAGTACAACATCATACGTTCTTTTGCCTCAACACCAATCTCTCCTAACAAGGAACGGATCCAGAGAAGCTCTGAAACTCCATGTGCCATGGCTCTATATTCAGCTTCTGCACTTGACCTTGCCACAACTGTTTGTTTCTTACTTTTCCACGAGACTAGATTACCCCCAATAAGAGTGAAAACTCCTGATGTAGGTCTCCTGTGATCAAGGTATCCTACCCAATCAACATCTGTATAAGTCTCTAGCTTCAACTGTCCATGGTAAGCTAGTAGTATGCCTCTGCCTGGGTGTCCCTTCAGATAAGCAAGAATCCTGTCAACAACCTCCCAATGTTGTACTAGTGGGGCATGCATGTATTGACTCACCACACTCACTGCATAGGAGATGTCTGGTCTTGTCATACATAAATATAGCAGCCACCCCACAAATTTCTGATATCTCCTAATGTCCTTTACCAACTCACCTTTTGATGCAGTAATTCTGTGATTCTGATCAAAAGGAGTACTGGCTGCCTTTGTTCCAAGTTTCCCTATTTCTTGTAAAAGGTCCAGAACATACTTCCTCTAAGAAATAAAAATTCCATGCTTTGATCTTGCAAACTCAATGCCCAAGAAATACCTCAGCTCCCCAAGATCCTTAATTTCAAATTCTCTATGCAGATTCTTCTTCAAACTGCCAATCTCACTCGGGTCATTTCTTGTAGCTACAATATCATCCACATAAACAATCAGAACTGACACCAAGGACCCCATCCGCTTCACAAAGTATGGTCTGATTGAGTCTGAGTGTAGCCAAAAGCAATCAAAGCCTTCCTTAACCTGTCAAACCATGCTTTGGGAGACTGTTTTAAACCATAAAGTGACTTCTTCAATCTACATACCTTCCCCTTTTCAGCATCACTGTAGAAACCAACAAGAAGATCCATATACACTCTTTCTTGCAAATCCCCATTCAAAGAGAGAGAAGGATCCGAACAGAAGTCATCTTTCCAACTGGTGCAAAGGTCTCTAAGTAATCAATGCCACAGGTTTGAATGTACTCTTTTGCAACCTGTTAGTGTCGAGTAAAGAAGGGTAGAATAGTCAATTATGTTTTATTAATATGGTGTTATGTCTTTTAGTGAGTGCTGATGTGTCCCAACTTAAATAGGGGCATAAAAGTCTTTTTCTATTCATTTTAGTAATCTATATATCCTGGCCGACCTAAGAGAGAATGAGAACTATTCTCTTCTCTTGGGTTCGAACAGGTTTTTCTTCTTCGATTTCTCCTCTTATTCTCTCCCTCTCTCTCTCTTTTACTTCTTTTCTACATCAAGTTAAGATCTGAAACTGAAATCGTCACATGGTATCAGAGCCAGGTTAAGTCGGTCCAGATCTGTTCTATTCGTAATCTCTCATTTTTCTTCTCTTTTTTTTGGAGTTTCAAAAAAAGGGCTGAAAAGGAGTTGCCATATCTTCAGTTTGGAGTTTTTAATGTGTTCGGTTGGGTGTGAAGCTGTGGTTTCAGGTGATTGGTAGAGAACCCTTTACTCAATGGAACGAAGAGGGCTGCAACCGTAGGTTTCGTGGTAGGTGCAGATGTGTGGTTCAGATTAGTATCAGTCGTATGGTGCAGATGTGTGGTAGGAGCAGATGTGTGGTAAGTGAAGCTTAGTATCAGTCGTATGGTAGCAAGTTCAGATGTGTGGTACTCTTGTGTGTGATGTGTTTGTGAGGTGCCGAAAGAGACAATAGTAGAGGTTAACATTGCTGAAACCTGTGACAGTGTATGTTTCAGCAATGGTCAGTCGTATGGTGGTGAGTGATTAACTTGAGGAGTGAAGTACAGTGTTCTTGGAGTGCAGTGTAGTGGTTATTGGGTAAGGCAAGTTGAAACAAACAAAAACAGAATTACAGTCATGGGCGATAATGAACATAAGTCGGTTATGATCCCCCAAGACTACTTGAATGTACAAATGACCTCAATTAAATTGAATGGAGAAAATTACATACCTTGGGCCAAATCTGTTGAAGTGTTTCTCAGAGCCAAGAAGAAAGCAAAGCATATAAGAGAAGAAAAACCCCCAGTTGATTCCCAGGAGTATGGTGATTGGGAGCAAGAAGATGCA